CTACTGGCGCCCAGCAAATCCTTCTTTTTATGTAAGGAAAAACTAAGAATAATGGCCATCTATTCCTATACATTCATTAGCATGCACTGATGCCTCAATTTGTAATTGTTTCTTTAGAAATTCTGCTTGTGCTTATTATTGTTTAGAAAGAAACATGACTCTTCATAAAGCAGAAAACATTGATAAGAAATTTCGATGAAAGCCCACTTACTCTGCTTCTCAAGGAGTTATAAATTGTCAGTTATAAATTGTTTACTAAAAGGGCTTGAGAAGCTGTACACAAGGCCAGATTTCCAGCAGTCCTGGTGGACCCCTGTACTCAATTATGAAGAAATAAACTTGTTGTATGTAGACTTTTCTACAGCATTTGTTTTCCAGAAGAAAAAAAGTAAAAGCAGTGTAAATAATATCAGGGTGATAATAAATCTTATCTTGTGTCTGTTGAGCATGAAGTGAAAATGGTGCAAACGTTGGAAGTCAGAAAGGAAGTAATCATGAAGCTTAGAGCTCCTTGTCTGAAGGTTGGTTACAGGGCAGGTGTTCTTGATGTTGTGCATATTTTTGCCAACATGCTGGCTGCCCCCCAGCTCCTGCTGCGCTGTCTCCCCACATCTCCAAAACTTTCTCAGGTACATGCGCAGTTCAGTACCAAAGGGCACCAATTCATCTTGCAACTCCTCCACGTCATGGTAATTTGAGGTGCTGAGAGACAAATGAGGGTCGTGGTTTGTCCTTTCTCTCCGCCTCTGTGTCCATCTGCCCTTCCCGGTTTCCAGTCTGCTGACCTTCGTTTCAGTTTTAGAATCGCTGCAGCAGCTTTCCAACTGCTTAATCAGCTCCCAGGAATTGATAAGCCACCAAACAAATCCCTATCCCGTTATCCATCAGACTGCTCCTGCTGCTCCCATCAAACCGGACATATTTCCATAGTATTATTTGAATATTGTATGGACATTACATTGGGGAAGAAATGTAGGTGACATTTTCTTTCCTAGGCTGTTTGTCTGGTATCCTGAAATTTGTCATACTTGTTAAGAAGAATCAAACTCGCAGTTTTAAGAACCAACATCATTTCACTGAACAAGAAATAGAAATTCCTCATCATATGACTTTGCAAAGCATTTTCATGGAAGCACACGCAAACGCAAGGAATTCAGATCGCATTCTTAAAATAGGGAATTATGATGTTGTTGGGAGGATAATCATCCTTCTCAAACTAGTATAGTATGAAAATATACTTCCACCTCACTATGAACAATATCTAGTTTTTTAAAGCATCAGAGAGTCATTTCTAATGTAATAGTAGCTGCCCTAACTCTTGGCCTTCATGATCATCTCCAGCATGCTTCTTTGTTTTGGCTTTGGTTCTTGTATTTTTCCAGGCTTGGGGCTTGAACTCAGGCACTGTCCCTGAGTCTCTTTGTGTTCAAGGGTAGGGCTCTAGCCACAGTGGCATTTCCAGCCTTTTTTAGTAGTTTATTGGAGCTAAGAGTCTCACTGGCACTTTACTGCCAGGGCTGGCTTTGAATCACAATCCTCAGATCTCAGTTTCCTACTAGGACTAGCTAAGACTACAGGCATTCGCCACCAACAATCAGCTTCCAGCATGTTTTATTCTATTAGCTCTATTTTTTAAACACTAACAAGAACATCTTCAAAGACAAGTAGGCAGTATAAAAGACTAAATAGGATGATAATATTAATCCCCAGTAAAAATTTCAAATATATCTATTAAAGTTAACATTAAGAATATAGTTGGGTTTTTTGTTTTTGTTTTGTTGGTCATGGGGCCTGCACTCTGGGCCTGGGTGCTGTCCCTCAGCTCCTCAGCTCAAGGCTAGCACTCTACCACTTGAGCCACAGCTCCACCTCCTTTTTTTTCTGTTTATGTGGTGCTGAGGAATTGAACCTAGAGCCTCATGCATGCAAGGCAAGCACTCTACCACTGAGCCACCTTCCCAGCCCCAAGAATATAGTTTATATTTCGGAACTCTGGAAACAAGGATGAACCTCAAGAAGATAGCATTGAACATGCTAAATGGAAATAATGATAAAAATGAAATTCAAGTGGAGCACCGGTGGTTCATACCTGTAATCCTAGCTACTCTGGAGGCTGAGATCTGAGGATCATGGTTCAAAGCCAGCCCCGGCAGGAAAGTCCTTGAAACTCTTATCTCCAATAATCCACTCAGAAAAATGGAAGTGGCTCTATGGCTCAAGTGGTAGAGCACTCATCTTGAGCTGAACGGCTGAGGGACAGAGTTCAAGCCTCATGATCGACCAAAAAAATGAAATTCAAATATTAATATAAGTAAAATGGTAAAATGATAGTAGAATATTAAAACAGGTGAATATGTGCCATCTACACAAGGATTAGCATGAGTTACCAATTGTTCTTTTCTATAATTACACTGAGTTTTTAAAATTTGTATTCTTTTGTTTCCAGAAATTGATTGTTTAAATTTTAATGAATTTATTATTAGAAGAATTTTTTTTAGATTTGAAATTCTGGGATTATTTTTTGCTCATTTTGAATCCATCCATGTGGTGCACCTTTTCACCTCTTTAAACCTGGAATTACGATGCCTGTCATCCCGAAGCTTACTCGTTTTCTTTGTGCTTCAGTAATTACAGTATCAACCCATCATCTGTCTAGGTTTTTTCAGTGCAGAATGGAGCTAACATATGCAAAAATGACAATGTGGAATTCCAGGTAGTCTTCAGAGCAAGGTGAATTCAGCTTTGCTCTTTCTCAGATCACTTACTTGGAGGGAAACCATCTGCCACATAGTGAGGAAACACCAATATTATTTTATGAGCCAACTTCATAAGACATCCTCAGAAAAAGTTCCATTAATCATACCACATACTGCAATCACACTGCAATCTCCGAAGAGACCATCCAGCTAAATTCCTAATTACAACTACTAATGTAATAATGAATATTTGTTGTTTTATAATCTACCCACTATTGAAGTAGTTTATTAACAAATAAAAATAACTATTACAAAAGAGGATAAGTAAAATTTCATTTGTATAAAAGAGTATTTTATCCATTTGAATTTCATTAAGGCTACTTTATTAATTGTGAATATTAAGTTCAAAAGGTTTTTTGACTTGATGAAGTAAAATTTGCAAGTCTATTTGTACATAAGACATTTAACACTCAAAGTATGAGCATTATTAATTATATTCAGCAACATGTATCAGAAAGTTTGCTATGTGACATTCATATACAATGAAGAATATAGCCGAACTTTCCTTGAATGACATGGACAAGGTAATGGACACAGATAAAACTCACGAGCAGAGTTCTGCCTAGAGTGTGCAAAAGCCTCATCTCCAGCACACAGACAGACAGACAGACACACACACACACATACATACACACATATCCCAAGATGAGTAAACAGACATTTATAACACAATATTTATCCTGCTGCTTGTAATGCACATGCCCACAGGCAGAAAGAGAATGAAAGTATGGTATAACCCATTTTTCTAATGACATCTCAGAATGCTTCACAGATGGAGTAGACCCTGAGGGGTTAATAAGAATTCTCCAGATAAAAGTGAAAAAGGAGGCTTTCCTCCTAGTGATATTAATATTTATACAGCACACATGGTGAACCAGGTTCTTTTCTAAGCACTTCTCATATATTTCATTATCTTTCTGACAATCCTATTACATAGGTACTATTAGAATCCTGCTCTTATAAATGATGAAAATTAAGCAGAGAGTGTACAAAGGTTTCTCATTTCAAAAAAAGCTAGCAAATAATAAGGTCTATACTAATATCAGAGAACTGAAGCCACAGTCTCCATGCTTAGATATGAACTACTACTCTTTCTACTATATTGAAGGCTGTGGTGGGGAAAACAGTAGGAGCAGAGTCAGCAAAAGTAAAATTCTATGTTGTCCTAGGTCCAACTAGGAAGAGAAGAAGTAAATATGGTTGGGAATGGAATGTATATGTTGAATTACAAGATGAATTTCACGCCAAATTGCTTGCTCTGAATGACTTGATCAAATGCATGTTTTGTGAAGATGTCTTAGAGCAATATAAATGAGTAGTGGATGGATGAAAGACATAATAGATTGCATAAGTACCCTTAAAAGAGAATGGATTTAAGTAAGTGTGACAATGGAAATGGTAGTAATGAAAGAAGAGCTCCAATTGATGACCATGTGAGTTCGGCAGGCAGAGATTATGGAAACTGCTCACTACTTAGAGACTTAAAACATGACTTCAGATTCTTCTTGAATCTTGTAGTAGTAACACAAAGGCCGGTTTTGCTCAATCAGATATAATGCCATTCACTTAGGCATTATTCACAGTACTTAATGACAGTGCCCAGTGGAAAGAGAGCCGCCATGCAACAGCACTTAGGGTTCTAGAATAATAGTTGTTATATTTTTGTCAACATCATTCAACTTACCTTTATTTGTAAAATAATGTCTACCACACCATCCATCAGGAATATAGGTGGGAGAAATCACATTACTCACACTTCTATGTTCATCAACACCTAAAACCATTCTATTCCTTTATGATATTTGTACTGTATATTTGTCCCCTGTTACACAACCATTTTCTGATACCATATCTGATGAGCACTTGATAAATAATTGTTGCATGAGTAAATGCCTCCCATAAGAAGAAGATCTCTAGGTAGAATTTAAATAGAGTCCTATTGAATTTTATTCTATTCCCTACTAGAAAAAGAAAACAGAAAAGGGAAGGGGAAAGAACATAAATGATGAAGCCCAACTCTGTAAAATGTGAATCACAATTGACCGCTCAAATCTAGAGTTTTGTCGATGAGGAAAGACAACGAAAGAAGACTGAGAATGGAAGAAAACTGACCACATGGACACTTGAGCACATTTGTGGTAGCTTTATTTCTCCCACAACACTTTGGGGCGAAGAGAAACAAAGCTACTGCTAAAGAGACTATTGTTTCCTTTCATTTTAAAATTCAAGTTTTGTGGCTCTTACCTGAAAAGTTTTTGTAATCCACTAAATCAAACATGACAACAGCCACTGCTGACCATGTGATGATGAGTGCAATGACCAGGAGCCAGGCTGCTGGGGAGCTGAAGGTTGTCACTATGTCTTCTGTGACTGTCCTCTTCAGCACTTTTCCAGGGGACTTGGGCACAGATCCATTTTTATTGTCTATAACAGTTGTGGTTGTCGATGCATTTCCTAGTCAAACATTCAGAGATGAAAAAAAGAAAACATTTAGACATGGATAACCCCTGCATTGTTTTCAGTCACAGAGCAAAGCTGTTCAGTGGCTCAGCCCCTCCACCTCTTCCTTAACATTGACTTGATGTTGTAAAAGGTGTGTGCCTGTGTAATCAGCCTTTGTCATCTCCCCTCTTCCATCTGTCTACCATACAGGCCAAATAGCTTTTCCTCTTATTTCATTCAATTTTACTTCTCCTCCCATTCATTTTTCTTCTGTATCATCTCTTCTGATATCCCATCAAAAACAGTGCAGTTTGGGACTACACTCTTTTTTTCTTTATTGATATTTATATGCCAATTCGGAAAACAGTCAAAATACATTCCTTTTTCAAAAGAGAATCATGGTCTGTGATACAACAGTTCAAATAGAATCAGAAATTCTCTTCAGAGATCCTAGTTTAGGTACAGAGTTGTCCCTCTCATTGAGGGACAACTTTATTGTTGTTGTTATTGTTGTTGTTATTATTGATAGGGAAATAAAACTAAGAAAGGAATATTGGAGAATATTATATTTTAATTTCTTGTTCCTGATTTTAAGAACATTATGCTCTTAAGAAAATGTTCAAACATTTAAAAATAACAACCAGTACATAAGCAAATAGATACATAAAAATTTTAATCTCCAACTCTGAAACAGCTTCTGTTAACATGTTATTCAATTTCCATTGAGTTTTCTGGGTATGTGTAGAAATATGTAAATGTTTTCTTGGCTTAGACAATCTTTATCATACTCCCCTCTTTTTTCAGATAACAACATTAATTATGTAAACATCAGTATAAGTTAACTATTTGAATTAGAAAATAAAATTTGAACCCTTTAAACAGGTGTGTACAAAGTACAATGACTAGAAATGGTGGGGGGGTTGAAAATAGTGCATGAAAAGCTAAAGTCAATTACTTTTGCTAATGGACTTACTCTTCTGATGTTTTCACTGTAGAAGGCTCACTTCTTTACAGGAGTAAGATAAATGGCATACAATTCTTTGAATACCCAGAGGCAATCAAATTAGTTACTAGGCAATAGCCAAACAACTATTTTTAGATAAAATGGTGAACCTAAGCCCATTTTTCAAAGGACTATAAAAGCTAATGTAGCTAATACATGGCAAAGAATCTAAGATCTTAAAATGACTTTAGTAGAAGTTAATAATGACAAAAGAACATTTCCTTTTCTCCTCAAAAAATGGGAATATATATATATCCTCAGTTCATGAGCTCAAAATTTAGGGAAAGTGACACAAAGAAGGAATGCTACATTAAGAAAGATTTTATACACTGCTTGAAGGGCTGCCCACTGAAGGAAAAATTAGGAAAAACTCATTCCATATCCTCTCATTGATTTTTGTGTCAAACTCCCATCATATGTCATGGTAGGTCTGAAATGAATGAATGGTTGGAGTGCCTTGTAATGAGATTTAAGGCCCAAGTGAGACTACAAGTGAATCAAACCTTCTCAATAATGATTTTCAGGGAAGCAAGTGAATTGTAAGTGTTTAGGAGTGGCCCACCTGAAAGTTGATATGTTGCTAATCTTCCGTTTCTTGATCTCTGAAAGGCTTTTTAATACCACTAAGTAGAGAATCTTTGAATAATTGTTTCTGTACTTCAGATTCACTTCAGTGAGCTGTGTATTATGGTATTAGACAATATCATTCACACCTGGTGGAATCTTAAAACTGAAAGTACAAATTACCAACACTTAACAGAATTAGTTGAATGCTGGTAATATTTTTTAAAGTAGAAAAATAATTAAAGGAAACGATTTTTTATTTATGGCATTTGATCATGAAAATGGGAAGCTACAAATTTAAGAAATAATTAATGCAAGCTCAAAAATTGCATATTTTGAGGAATTTATATGAATTTGAAATTTTACTTTTCTTTATGATCTCTTGGGACAATTATTTTGTGATTTTAAATAAGCAAAAATGATAACATAAATGCTCAATAATGTTGGGGTTTTCTTTTGCATATCTCTCTTTTATTAGCCTTCCTGATTTCAAAATCTCTACTTAAAACCTGATCAAGACTCAAACACAAGGAAAATAGGCTCTAAGTGTCCAGGTGTAAAATAAACAGTTGGTAAATAATCTGAGAGTAGAAGAAGATTATATGAAGAAAATTATATGCTCCTTTTGCTATAAACATACTAAGTTTTACCTTTCATTTTCCATTCATATTTACTGCAGAAGAAACACAGAGCCAAGAGGAGAAGAATTAAAGAATAAAACTGCCTCTCCTGACAGCTGGTCAAGATAAATGCAAAGAACAGAGTGTATAATTTGAGATTTTTTTAATGTTTGAGAAGCACTTTAAGGATGACAAGAGCTAGTTATTGATATGGTGGAAAAAATGAGAGGTAAATGCTGCTGAGCAATTTGATATGGACGATGCTTCTTCAAAGTTGGTGTTTCAGAACTGGAGCTAGAGCAGAGCACTGCCAGTACTTTCTCTATCTATTTGCAAATTTCATTCCCTTTGATTCCATACAAATTGTTTTGATTGCCAGACAGATAAAATCAGGTTCAAATGAAGTGTAGATTTGATTGAATGTGTCTTTGCTCCTTAATAAAAAGGCAGGGGGGGGCTGCTTGTACAATGGTTTTAAAGAATGGTCATATTATACACAGAAGAATAAATCATAAACCTCTTGATAGAACTCACTTAACCTCATCATGCCTTATTGATCAGACAACTAAACTACCAAATGCACTAGCCCATTATTATTCTCATGTGGTACTAGCAGTACAGTCTCTGCCAGAATACTTAAAGAATATAGATATTAAAGAAGATACCTATATTCTATAATTATATAAATAAAACATTAATTCTTCATTATGTGAAAACACTATGACTTTTGCATTTCATAAATGATGTAGTTTTTGTAGTACTTTTACACTATATTTCTCCTTCAAGATTTTGAGCATAAAGGAAATAGAGAGTAGACAATACCTATGTCATTATAAAACACATTATTCCCAAAGTACTCTAAGGTCATGCTGAGCAAAGTTCATCACAATGATCTTTGCAGAACCTTAATGTCCTTGGAGGTAGATGCCTGTCTAGACTTTCCAGTTACATGGAGAGGTAAAAAGGACTTTCAATTCATAACAATAAGCTTTGCCGAGTTAGGGTTTCTAAAATGCATGCATGTCAATGAGAACTCTACAGAAAGTCTATTGCAAAATGGGGTTTTTTTTGCAAAAGAGGTTGAAAAATTAAAAATTTTTCCTGTTAACTGTTTTAATGCTTGTAGAATATCTAAAAGTTTACATAAACTGAGCATATATTTTAAGAGATAAAGTAGTCATAAAGAAGATAAAATTATCATGGATATATGTATTAATCAATATGTATGAGAATAATGAGAAGTAATATAAGTTTAGAAGAATCCAGACTTTAGATATATGAAACACATCAACAACTATGAAGTGTCCTTTTTAAAAATGAAGTGTCTGTGAAGAATAAAACTCTCTTCTGTCTCAAAATGGAAACTGGTTTCTCTTCATATCAATTCAGGCTTCTTTTCTCCAGTTTTTAGGATACGATCATTATACTAAAATTTCATAGGGTATTTTTGCTATTTAGTTTTACTGTTGACATGAAATTCCTTTCATATCTTTAATGTTACCCATCACCCATCACTCCTTATTAATACCCACTCATTATTTCCAATCTTCCATTAAGTAGATTTATTTTTCTAGTGGGGGTGGTGGTGCTAGAAAGTAGAATTGTTCCTAAGGCCAGGGCATAAGAATAGGCCTAATTATCCAGGACCCCATTTAAAGATTGAGACCACCAATGACTCCCTCACATTTTTCTGAGGAATAACTGAAAGGCATTCTCTTTCTATTGTAGCTTAGAAATTGGTAGGTTGTAGGAGGTTGGAAGTGGGTCTCTAGTGTACCCTAAAAGTTAGAGACTTTTTGCTTCCAACATAATTGGATATTTATAACACCATTACAGATCCAAAAATTACCAATAAAACAGGCAGCCATGGGCAGCTAAGTAGAAGTATACTAGAATGTATGGTTTGTCTGACCTTAGGAACATGAAATGGGTTCACAGAGCCAGATGTTTTTAAAGGCAGATATATGTCTGGGCTTTGCAGTTACATAGGGAGAAACAGATGAATTAGATTTGACTACATTTGTTATCATCAGACATCACAAGCTCTGAATGACACTCTCTCTGCTGAGTAGATGGATAATTATTTTTCTTTATGTCATTATGTCATAGGAACTAGTCAGTAAGAAAAATCTGCATGTAAACAGCTTTTTCAAAATTATTAAATCTCACTCATCTTGCAAGTGACTGAAGTCTCATTATCCTAAGTTTTAAAAAAAATGTATTTAAAGGGGCAGCTTCTGCTGGGCGCAGATGACTCGTCTGTAATCCTAGCTACTTCAGAAGGCTAAGATCTGAGGATCCTAGTTCAAACCCACCCAGGACAGGAATGTCAATGAGACTCTTACCTCCAATTAACCACCAGAAAACCGGAAGTGGCACTGTGGCTCAAACGGTAGAGTGCTAGCCTTGAGCTGAAGAGCTGAGGGACAGCACCCAGGCCCAGAGTTCAAGACCAACAACCAACAATAAATAAATAAAGTGCAGCTTCTGTCATTAGTTCACAAGAGCTCTTTATGAGCAATAGGTAAAGCCTCCGTCCCCTGGCAGTACACATGCACTGCTGTGATTCGAATGTGCATGCTCACCAAAATACATGTTGAAGTCCTTACTCCCATGTTAAGGGAATTGGGAGGTCAGTCTTTAGTAGGTTATTCGTGAGGGTGAAGCCATCATGAATTAACTAAGTGTTCTCAAATAATGAGGTCAGAGGGAGAACTGTGATGTTATAGTGAAATGAGGCTGTTTATGAGGAAGCAGGCCCTTGTCCGAATTTACTTGATCTTGGCCTTCCAGCCTCCAAAACTGTGAGACAAGAAGTTGTGTTT